GGGTAGTATCCCTGCTGTCTGAATCCTCGCAGCCCCTTTGTCCCTGCATGCTGAATCTGCTGAGCCTGCACAGGGGCCACAGAGTGGAAGTGCAGACACTCCTTGAGTCTCATTCACATCAAGGTGTGTTGACCTGCGTGGGCTCCATTTCTCCTTGCTCATTCTTTGAGGTTTCCATTGGAGATATTGGAGGCCCTGAGAGGGTCAAAGAGGGAGCCATGCAACACAGCCTAGAAGCAATCAGTCACACTGGCCAGGGCTCTCTTAGCCTCTTCATCCCAGGACTCATCTCGCCCAAGCTGGCCCCCTATGCCAGGCCCCTTGGGAAAAGGGAAGTGATGGTACCCAGCTGCAACTGGTCCCCAATCTGGACCCTGGGGATTGTCTAGCACAGCAAGTGCTTCTTCCTATTAGGAGCAGGGCCAGAAGTGGGGAGGAGAACCAGATGTGGGAAGGAGGGCCAGAAGGGGAGAGGAAGCTCAGATGTGAGAAGAATTGGCAGATGTTGGGAGCAGTGCTGGGTGTGGGGCATTGTTGCACATTCCTCCAGAGACCTCCCACCCCTAGCAAGGCATTATGTACAAACTGTCCTTATCCCCCTGAAACTCTATACGAAGGAGCCCTGGCGGCACAAGTTAAATGCTTGACTGATAACAAAAAGGTTGGTGGTTCAAACTCACACATTGGCTCTTTGGGAGAAAAGTCCCAGCAATCTGTTTTCATAAAGATTACAGCCTAGGAAACCCCATGGGGCAATTCTGTTTGTTTCGTGGAACTGGTAAGAATTCAAGTCTACTCAACAACACCTACTAACAACAACTCTACTTAAAGGGATTTCTTAGGAGGAAATCAAGGCCACGGCCACAGGGGTAGGGAGGGTGGCTGGGAGGGCACTAGCACTGAATGGGAGCTCCTACTGTCTCCACTCTACTGCTCTCCAACCACTTGCTGGGGAGGCCAGAGGTGGGAGCAGAGGTGGCCACAGGAAAGAGAAGCAGGCAGATATGCAGGGAAGGCCCAGATGTGGAGGAAGGGGCTGGGACTTCATAGCACTCAAATAAGGCATGTGGTCAGAATTTCCTCAATCCAAGCAGAGATCAGTCAGAAAGTCCAAAATTCAGGGATTAGCTGTGCAGAGGTCCTTTGGGCAGCTGGGAGCTGGATGGAAATCTGAGGCTGGAGCCTGCCACTCAGGCCTGGAAAGGGAAAGCTGAGGAAGTGCTGAAGGTGGAGGTTGGTGGGCTGGCCACCAGGACTGGAAATGGACTAGCTCTCAGGAGATCCAGTTGGACAGTGGGCTCCAGCTGGGAGCTTCTGGTCAGTCATCCAAGCCTCAACTTCCCTGACATTGTCAAGTCTTAGCATCTTCCAACACAATTGTATTTGCAGAGAACAGCAGGGCTCCAGAGGTGGTGGTCTACCTGCTCTACCTGCCGCTGTCCATCCCCACCCCGCCTCTGTTCTGACTTCTCCACTCAGCTCCTAGAACCTGTGGTTTACATCCCAACCAGAGTGGTGACAACAGCGTGGCGATGGGGCATGGGGTGGAAAGGGCAGCAGAAGGGGGCCAGGCCAGGGTGGCAGCTGCCCAGACCTCAACCCACATTGCAAGCAGATTCTGGGCTCATCAGCTAGCTTGGCAGGGGCCCTGGGGAAAGGTCTAGAACCATCCAAGAAAGTAGAGAGGGCATCAACACACTCCCACCAACCTTGCCCTGAGTTTGCCAGGTGACAGGCACTCACAAAACACCTTCACTATTCTCTGTACCACCTATTTAAATTTTAAATTAGCATATTTTGTACACCCTTGAAATACTGATTTTATCACATATGGCAAATCAGCTCACCTTTCCTTCCAGTGAATGTATTTTATAAAGGAGGTGGAAACCTTGTGTTAGCACCCAACATGTGAAAATCAGAATCACTTGCTAGAAATAGAAGTGAATTCATAAATCATTTACTTATTAATAAATAAAAGTAAATATATAAGTAAATATTTATATTTGACTATATAAAAAACCAAAAAATAAAGGATAAATATTTAAAAATAAGGGTATAAAGAAATGTATTTATTTATAAATACATAAATGTCTAACTAGATACTGTTACTTCCTAAAGGTTCAGCACCCACGGCCAGCTCTCATTTTGTTAAACAGGGTGGTTGACAGATGGGGAGGGGTGTTATAGAGCCCCAACTTGACTAATCAAAAGACTGTAAAATATAAGAAAGAAATATTTTCTCAGTAAGTGATTCAATACTATTTAACACAGTTTGTTTATCACCTGGGTTTTTGGGTGGTGCAAATGTTTTGTGCTTGACTCCTAATCTAGAGGTTGGTGGTTCAAACCCATTCAGTGGTTCTTCGGAAGAAAGGCCTGGTGATCTGCTTCTGTAACTAGTTGCTGTTGAGTCAGCCAAGAAGAGACTATCAAGCAGTTCTTCTTGTAACACTTGGGAGTCACCGTGAGTCAGAATCAACTTGACGGCAATGGGTTTGGTTGGGTTTGGTTTTGTGCATCATCTAAAATCATCTCAAGGACTCATCCTTTAGGAAGCCTGAACACCATTTAGTCTCAGCCCAGAGGCCACTGCCTCTTCCAGGCTTGCTGACCATCCCAGCTTCTCTCTTTCTACCTTCAGCTCTTATTTGGGCTCTTAGTATCTCCACCTGGCACGACTGATTATCTTTCCTCCTCCCCTTATTTCTTAGGATCCTACTTGGACCAGATACCATGCAGGGTGAGGACAAGATGGGCAGATGCAGGTGTCGAGGAGCTGCTGCTGCCTACTGGGAGAGCCATGAAGGTTCAATGTGAGAAACTACCAGGAAGTAAAGTGCAAACCCAGAGGGAAGCACCCAGGAGGGCTTCACAGAGGAGGAGGCACATGACTGGACCACCAAAGATGAGTAGGAATTTTCTGGGTAGAAAATAGAGGGACATTTCTGTTAGCAGGAACCACATGTGCTGAGCATACCCAAGGTATGAAGGGTGTTTGGGGAGCATTTTGTGGGTAATGTGGTCAGACATGGGTTAGAAAGACTACTGAGGCTGCAGTGTGGTGGAGGGTTCAGAGGGACATGGGAAAGTCAGGAAGTGCAGTTGGGAGTTGCTAGTAAAGTTCAGGTTAGGGCAGAGTTGAGAGGGAGCTAGGGGGTTGAATAATCAAAGGCAGTCCATTATTTCTTGAGTGCTTATCATGCTTAGTTTACTATGTGATGGGCAACTATTAGTACCATTCTTTTGCAGAGGAGGGAGTTGAGGCACAGAGTAGTTAAGGAACTTACCAAGGTCCCACAGCTAGTGAGCACAGAGCTGGGACTAAGCTCAAGACGTCTGGCACCAGAACCCACAATCTTCTTCACTGCCCTCTTCTGGCCTTGGTGACCAGAATATGCTGCTGAGTTTCTGTCAGGAGCAGAGAATTGCAAGTTGTAGGACTAAGCCACAGGAGCTCTGGTAGCATAGTGCCTAAGGCACTTGACTGCAAACCAGAAAGCTAGAGGTTCAAATCCACCAGCCACTCCTTGGAAGGAAGGTTGGGCAATCTACTTCTGTAGTGATACCGCCTAGGAAACCCAAGGAAGGGTCGCTACGAGTTGGGGCCGACTCGAGGGCACATAACAACAATAATAGGACTAAGCCACACATCTCCGTATCCCTCCCAGGGCTCAATATGGTGTAGACAAGGTCAATTCCACACTCACTGTGGGGCCCTACTTTAAAACCAGGATAGTCAAGGCACTTACATTCCTGCTCAGAGATCAACTGCCATTGAGTTGACTCTGACTCATGGTTACTGCTTGTTGTCAGAGAAGAACAGTGCTCCACAGGGTTTTCAATGGAGGACTTTTTGGAAGTAGATCAGCAGGCCTGTCTTCCCTGATGCCTCTGAGAGCCTCCAACCTTATGGTTAGCAGTCAAGTGCATTAACTGCTTATATCACACATGGACTCCGTCAGCTGGTATTAAACCAAAAAGCCTGTTGCTGTTGAGTCAATTCTGATGTATGGAGCCCCATGTGTTACTCCATAGCACCGTTCTTGGACTTGAAGGCAACAGGTTGTTTTTTGGGATCTTATGAAAGTAGTTTGTCTAGGCCTTTCTTCTGAGGTGACTCTGGGTGGCCTTGAACCTCCAGCCTTTGAGTTAGCAGCTAAGTGAGTTCACTATTTGCACCACCTAGGGACTCCATCAGCTGGTATTAGTATCACTTTATTTAGATCCACTGTCTTTCCAAATCCTTCACATGCTGGTCCTGAGCCCTGGTGGGTGTGCTGCTTTGACTGTCTCAATCTTCCTGCCATGCCTCTCTCATCTCCTCCATCAGACTGGAGTCTCCTGAGGGCAGGGCCTCTTTCTCCCCAGTCAGACTGGAGGAGCCCTGAGAACAAGGACTGGGCTCCATGAAGACAGGGGCTGTGTTTCCCACTCACACTGGGAGCTCCCTGTGGGCAGAGGCTGTGCCCCCTCCATCCTCTATCAACCAGTCCTTAGTACTCAGGGCCCAGCACAGCCACAGTGGACACAAACAAGGTGGCCGGGGGGAGGAGATAGTAATAATTATCACAGGGAGGTGGCTCTGTACCTGCAGTTTCTGTCCCAGAGGGGCTGAGTTTCTGACCTGCTGTCTGGACCAGCCGGAGACCAAACTCCAGGATCTAGGTCACCCCCTTGGCAGGCAAGCTGATTTATGTACCCCTGACAGCCTAATATCATCAAACTACCCCACACAATGGAGAGAGAGAGAGGCTGGGCTGCTGCTGGGCAGTGACAAAAGAACACTGAGCCTGGGGCAGCCGGCCGCCTCCCAGATCCCAGACCTCCTGAGAGTCTGTGGGGGAAGGGGGGAGGCTGGTGCAGATAGAAGGCACACCCCCAGGTGTGCTACCTTCAGCCAGGGGTATAAGTAGGCAGTCCCAGGGTCAGCTCTGTACCTTGCACTCCAACTAGCAGCGTTCCGACAACCACTTCTCATCATCCCGAGCTTGGGCAGTGCCATGAGCTGCAGCCAATTCTCATCATCCCACCGGAGCCGCAGTAGTTGTTGGGGTGGTGGGGGCAGCAGGGGCAGCATGAGATCTTCCTTCAGTTGCTTCAGCTCCTCAGGGGCTGGTGGAGGAGGGGGCAGGTTTAGCTTTTTATCCCAGTAGTTATGGCGGGGGAAGCTTTGGGGTCTGTGGGAAGGGAGGTGGCAGCAGTTTTGGCTCCAGCTACAGTGGAGGATCTGCAGGTGGTTTCAGTCTGGTAGCTTTGGTGGAGGTTTCAGGGGCTTTGGTACTGGTTCTGGAGGAGGTTTTGGTGGGTCTGGGGGCTATGGTGGTGGTTTTGGCTGTGGTTCTGGAGGGGGCTTTGATGGTGGTTCTGGAGGTGGGTTTGGAGGAGGTAATGGTGGTATTCTGACTGCTGATGAGAAGTCCACCATGCAGGGCCTCATTGCCCAGCTGGCCTCTTACTTGGATAAGGTGCAGGCACTAGAGGAGGCCAACAGTTATCTGGAGAATAAGATCCATCAGTGGTACAACAATCAGGGCTCTAAGAACTTCCAAAAAGGACTGTTCCTCCTACTATGATACTATTGAAGATCTCAAGAACCAGGTAGGTGGATGAAATGCTAATTTTTCTCTCAGAAAATCAATCCTATCTCTCTCTCTTTCTACTTCAACTGAATTCCCACAGGGGTCTGTCTTGATTTTGCCAGTTCTGTTGGACTCAGACACATATGCTGGCTGTTCAAGTGATGCAGAGGATCTAGAACTGTGAGGATGGAAGCCACCCACCCACACATTCACCCACCCATCATCCATCCATCCATCCATCTGTCTATCCATCTACCTGTCAATCACTTATTTATCAATCCACCCAGTTTAGTGAGTGGGAGCCCTCAGTGTTGCTCTGGGCAAACAAAGTGATGTGCCAGACTTGGTCTCTGCACTGGAGGAGCTCACAATCTGGCTACTTATTCTTCTTACCCATTCCCCTTGCTTTCATATGCTGTTTCTTGTCCATCCTTTAGAGCCCAATTCAGTAACCATCTCTTCTCTGAAATCTTTGATTATCCATAGCAATAAGTCCTGTCTTCTTTCCTTGAATTCTTTTAAGGTACTTTGGACTTTGTAGTTGGCTGTGGGTTCCTTGGGAAACAGTATGTCACTGATCTCTAAATCCCACAATACCCTTTGTAGCAGACCTTTAATTATTTGTGGGATGAATGAACAAAGGGCACAGTAGCATCCTTGCTGAAAGTCTGTGTCAAGGACCGGCTGTTGGAAGCTCCTCCTGCCTCTGGAGCATCTTGCTGAATGCATCTTCACCTCTTACGGCTTTGCCTGGCTTCTTTTCCTCCAAGCAAAGGACATGTTGTCTTCCCTTTTTCAGATTGTGGATATCACGGTGGGCAATAACAAAATTGTCCTGGACATTGACAATATTTACATGATGCCAGATGACTTCAGGATGAGTCTTGCTTCCTTCTCCTTCTCCTCCCACTTCCAGTGTTCTGGGGTCCCTGCAGGGACTGATGACCCCTTGCTCATTCCCTCTTCAGGTTTGAGATAGACCAGGACCTGCAGCAAGCCATAGATGCTGACATCAATGGCCTATGCAGGGTGCTGGATGACCTGCCCATGCAGAAATCTGACCTGGAGATGCAGTATGAATCTGTGCAGGAAATGATGGTCCTCAAGAAGAACCATCAGGAGGTATGGTCCTGGCTACTTAAGGCTTATTGGGGAGGAGGAGACAGAAGTTCAGAGGCAGTAGTGGAGGGAGCTATGGAGCATTTCCTGGGGAGTCACTCCCTCCCTTACTCTTTAGGAAGACACTCCCAACTCCTCCTTAGCATTGCCTAAGGCGATGGTTGGGCTTTGCCTTCAGAGATGTGTCTGCCTATTTTTTTATTCTGGAGGGAATTTAGGGAGAGAGTAGAAAGGTTGTAGAGATGAGCCACTTTTATGATCTCATATCCTTTTCTTCCCTTTCAGGTGATGAACCAGCAGACTGGGCAGAACTCTGGGAATGTCAGTGTGCAGATGAATGCTGCTCCTGGCCAGGATCTCGCCAAGGTCCTCAGTGACATATTCCAAGAGTATGAGCAGATCATAGCTAAGACCATAAGGACATTGAAGAGCAATATGAGACTCAGGTGAGTCCACCATCATCACTTTGTCTCCCATCTCTTCATCTTCCTATCCCTCCATTCCACCCTTTTGTATCCCACCCTTCCATCCATCTCTTACTCTTCCATTTTCCACCTTTCAATCCTTCATCCTCCCATCCCTCTATCACTCATTCCTTCACCTTCCCATCCCTCCATCCCTATCCTTTCATCCTCTCCCTATCCCTTCCTCCATCCTCCCATCCTTCCTTCCATCTCTTAATCCAGCTGTCATCCATCTACCTATCAATTCATTCATTCCATGCAAACATTTATTTAATTTTAATTTTTTTATTGTGATTTGGGTGAAAGCTTACACAGCAAATTCATTTTCCATCCAGGAGTTTATACACATTTTGTTTCATGACATTGATTGCAATTCCCCACAAGCAAACATAGTTATTGGGTAGTTTCTTGGTGGTAGATTGCTTTTATGTGAAAAGCTGGATCTCAGAGATGAGCCAAATAAGACTGTTACTCTTGAGAAGCTCATGATATTTTAGGTGTGTATGTGAACAAAAGCAGAGCATGAACAACTTACTCTGAAGCTATGTGATGTAAGACTCTAGTATAGAGTCCTACAGTGCACATCCCACTGTAGACTCTGAGCTCCTTAATGGTAAAGACTCTGTTCCCCTTCCTCCCTGACTCTCCAGTGCCTAGCATAGGGAGTGGCACATGAGAACTTAAGTCTCTGTGTGTATGCGTGTGTGTGTTTGGAGAGTGGAGGAAGTCTGAAATAAGTTTAGAAAGATGGTTTGGGGACAAAGTATGAAAGGGCTTGCAATTCTGGTGATGAAGAATGTCAGACTGAAACCTTGGATCTGGCTGGAGGGTCCTAGTGCTCAGAATGATTTGGCTTTGACCTTAGTTTAGCTTTGGTGCTGAAGATAAAGGTCCTGGTGGGATGGGACAAAACCTTGCCCACTACAACACCTGGCATAGCCTGGTCCTCACTGAGCCTTTGGATTTTCAGATGACCCAGATTGAGCAGGAAGTGACTATGAGTGGCCAGGAGATGGAGTCTAATACCAAGGAGTTGACCCAGCTCTGGCGCAGTGTCCAAGAGTTGGAGATGGAGCTGCAGTCTCAGCTCAGCCTGGTTGGTAGTCCTGCTTCAGTCCTGCTGCTAGTGTGGGGCATTGCATGGCTTCTGGGGGTGGGGAGGAAAGGAGCTATGATACAGCATCCCTCTTAACACTCTCTTATTTTGAAGAGATCGGCCCTGGAGAAGACCTTGGAAGATACCAAGATGCTGCTCCTGTGGCCAGCTGCAGCAGATCCAGGAGCAGATCAGTAACCTGGAGGCCCAGCTCACGGAGGTCCGGGTGGCGACTGAGTGCCAGAATCAGGAATGCAGCCTTCTGTTCAGCATCAATACATGGCTGGAGCAGGAAATTAATGTCTACCGTGGCCTTCTTGAGGGTGGCCAGGAGGACTTGTAGGTGCCCCAGGACCCTGTAGAATCTCTAGATACCCTGATGCTACTCCAGCCTTTATGGACAAAGGCAGCTAGGAAAGCAAGTTTATACAAGGGTCTCATGGGTTGAGGATTTCTTCAGCCTGTGGGGGTATCTCAGGGTATTTGGGCTTTGGAAAATGAAGGTGACAATGAAAGAAGGGACTGTCACTCTGCTCCAGGGAGAGGAAGATTCCATAGTTAACATCTGGAGGCTGTCCTCTCCCAGGTAGGGTGCCAGCCCAGCCTCTGTCTTCCACCCCATAGGAAGAGAAACTTAGGAAGAATCATATTTGGGTCTTGACTCTGTCCAGATCCATCTGGTGGGTGCTGGAGGGGGTCATTCAGTTCCCTGTTTCTTTCCTCTACAGTTAATCTTCTGGAGCTGGACAAATTGGCTTTGGAGGTGGAGGAGGAAGTGGAGGAGGAAGTAGAGGAGGAAGTGGATTTCAAGGTGGAAGTGGAGGCAGCTATGGTGGAGGAAGTGGTGACAGCCACGGAGGAGGAAGTGGAAGGCAATCCCAGCCCCAGTCCTCTTCCTCAAAATCTGGTGACTGTGATGATACACAAGGTAAGGAACACCTGTAGGTTATGTGGAGGAAGGCATAGGTGTGACTTAAGAGTTAAAGTATTGCTCCTTTTTCAGTATCTTTGAGCCTCTCTGGAGAATACATATTTTGAACAGAACTAGATTTTAGGGGAAAGCTCTGGTAGCGTAATGCCTAAGACACCTGATTGCTAACCAGAAGGCTAGTGGTTCAAACCCACCACCCACTCCTTGGAAGGAAGGTTGGGCAATCTACTTCCATAGCGATACTGCCTCAGAAACTGAAGAAGGGGTCGCTATGAGTCAGGGCTGACTTGACGGCACATAACAACAACAAGATTTTAGGGAGATCTCTAGTGAGGTATTGTAGGACCTGTCCTCATTCTGAATTGATCATTATTTTTGACAGAGCTTTGGACCAAATTTACACGTGACTCTAGTCTCAATAGTCTGGGAGATGGAATGGGAATTGTGTATTGTCTTGTGTATTCCCTACAACACCATATGAGGCAGATTTTACTATTATTTCTGTTTTGGAGAAAAAGAAAATGAGAGGATACATAACTCACTCAAGGGCATACAATTCATATATGAGAAACTCAGTCCTCCACAGCTGGTAGTTATAACATGAGGATGAGGAGACTCAGATCAGCAAAAGTTCAGGTGGAAAAGGGATTTTAGTCAATTGTTGGCTTGTCCAAGCCAGTTATAGGATGCAACTACCAACAGGGGTGTATACTGAATGTCATAATCTAGATGTAAGAAAGAGTCACAGGTAAAGTGGTCTCTAGGTCAGAGAGAATTTCCCCACATGCACACTATTTTTTTTTTAAAATACCATTTTAATTAATTAATTATTTTTTGGGTACACATTGATTTCTATAAAGTAAAATATATAATACAAAATTATAGTAAAAGGCTGGATAGCATGACTGGGAATGTTTAGATCAGAAAAGGTTTGAGGTATCTGGGAGCTGTCTTTCTGCGGAGTGTCTGGTGTGGCTTTGTGTGTCAAGGGGCCCTGTAGAGCCATGGATGGGCATCTAGAGGCAGAGGCTGTCTTAATACCCAAGGGATTTTCTAACAAAATTGTTGAATGGTGGCAGGGCTGCCTCATGAGCTCCTCATCCTGAGAAATGGATGAGCATCTGCTGAGGTTGCTGCAGGGGAGATTCAGGACTTGGACGGGGGGCACTTCACTGGGTGAACCGCAGGTCCCTGCATCACAGGACTCTCCAGCTCTTGAGCTCCAGACTCCTTGCTCCCAGTTTCCCCATCTTTTCCAAGGCTCAGCCTCTCTGTCTCCTACTCTAAGTTGTCTTCTCACTCTCACTTCTCTCTCCCATCTCTTCTCAGGCTATCAGATGTGATACTAGAGCTCCTGAAAGCTTTCCATACTCAGGCTCTGCTGAACATCCCACAAAGGGCAGAGCTTGGATGGAACCTGCTCATTGCACTCCAGCATAAGAATGGCTGGGGATAAGCCCTGGTGCCCATTTGGCTCCTGTGGTAGTTATGTTTGTGTGTCAACTTGTCTGGGCCTGGTTGAGTGGCTGGGCAGCTGGATGTAGTAGTCCGCATGATGAGACTGGCAATCAACTCCATGGTGGGATCTACTGTGAGCAGCTGAGTAGCTGTCTTTGGGTATGTGGTCTGCTTCCTGTATATAAGGAGAAGCTTTGAGAATGGTCTCTAGCCTACGGCACGCTTGAACACTGCATGTAGCTGTGTTGTTGCTCAGCAGCCTGCCATGCTCTGCCGACCTTGGGACTTACAATGGACTTAAGTTAATGGCCTGCCGTGTGGTTGGGTAACACCAGGACTGCCTTTTTACTTGTCAACCCTGGGGCTTCTTAGCCTCAGCAGCCAACAGCTGTCTGAGTGAAGAAATGACTCTAGCTCCAGTGGGCCGTGAGCAGGAGGCAGAGCTGGACCTCAAGGTTGAGGGGCTTTCACTCAACCCCTAGAGCCTGGCCCTTTGAACTTGGACTTAAAGCCTCCAAACAGTGAGAGAATAAACTCCTGTTTGTTAAGGTTGTCCCATTCTTGGTGTATTCTTGTCAGAGTGGCACTAGGTAACCAGAACAGCTCCCTCTTCTGCTTGGCTTTGATGTCCTCAAGGCAAGGAGACCTCCCTTCTTCTTTCTGGCCTGGGGATGATCCCACTCCCTGCCTGATCCTGACTTTCTAATAAAACTCTTACTGCAAATCAGAATTTGGACTTTGACCCATTTGTTCTTTAGGATTTAGAAGGGGCAGAATGGAGTGAAGAGAGAATCAATCAAAGCCACTTTAAAAAAGATTGGTTAGCTTTTCTGTCCATTAACTTTTGCTTGTAACAAAACATCCCCCAATTTAGTGGCTAAAAAGAGCAGCCATATATTTAGCTCATGATTTTGCAGTTGGCAATTTAGACTGGGTACAGCTGGGCAGTTCTGGACTCCTCTAAGTATCCTTTATGCAGCTGGGTGATTCTGCTTCTGGGGTGTTCTGGTTCCCTAGTGCTGCTCTGACAAGAATATACCACAAATGGGATGGCCTTAACAAACAGGAGTTTATTATCTTACAGTTTGGAAGCTTTAAGTCCAAGTTCAAAGTGCCTGGCTCTAGGGGCTGGGTGAAAGCCCCTCAACCTTGAAGTCCAGCTTTGCCTCCTGCTCCTGGCCCACTGGAGCTAGAGGTGTTTCTTCACTCAGCTGCTGGCTGCTGAGGCTGAGAAGCCCAACATTGACAAGTAAAAAGGCATAGTACCGATGTTACCAAACCACATAGCAGGCCATTAACTTATGTCCATTGTAAGTCCTAAGGTCAGCAGAGCATGGCAGGCTGCTAAACAATGACATGGCTATATGCAGGGTTCAAGGTGCCATAAACTAGAGACCATTCCCAAGGCTTCTCCTTATATACAGGAAACAGACCACATCCAAAAGGCAGCTACTCAGCTGCTTGTGGTAGATCCCACCATGGAGTTAATTGCCAGTCTCATCATGGGGAATAACTACCACCAGCTGCCCAGCCACTCAACGAGGCCCAGCCAAGTTGACATACAAACATAACCACTACATGGGGGTTGGCTGGATACTGGTTGGGGTGATGGAGATGAATGGGCCACATGACTTTCATCCTCTAGGTATCTAGCCCAAGCAAGTGTTCTGAGGTAATGAGCAGAAGAGTGCAAGGCCCCTGGAAGCTTAGGCTCAGAGCAGTCACCTTAGCTGTGTTGTACTGGCAAAGCAAATCACTGCGTAGCCCAGCTTTATGAGTGGGGGAAATAGACTCCTTTTGCTGGGAGGAGCCATAAAGCCACAGTGCAAGGGACAGAGATCTAGGGAGGGCAATCATTGAGGCCACTTTTTATAATCTACCATACCTTATTAGTAGGTCATATGGAGTCCTTGGGTGGCACAAATGGTTAAGCACTCAGCTATTAACCAAAAGGTTGGTGCTCCAAATACACCCAGAGGTGCCATGGAAAGAAGGCCCTGGTAATTAATAAATTACTTCTGAAAGATCAGGACCATTGTAAATCTTGCAGAGTGGGGTTCTACTCTGAAACATATGAGGTCACCATGAGTCAGAATGACAGTGGCAACTGGTTTTTGGTTCTATGTTAGCTAAAGAGGAAAACCAGATAAAAATGATGTGGTCTTTGCTTTGGAAAATGTCAGATGGTGAAAAATACAGGCACAGATAAGGTGCTACAAGGCAGAGTAAGGAAACTTTCATAGGCAGCAGCCAATATTATTCTCTGAGGATTCTGATTGGGCCTGAGTCAAAACTGCTTTCCATGAACAGACAGCCTCCTCAGTCTATGTTCCAGATACATAACAACCATCCCAGATGTAGAGGCTTAAAACAACATTTAGTTTGCTTGCGTATCTGCAATTTTGACAGGTCTTGGTAAAGAGAGCTCACCTCTGCTCGGTGTCACTGTGGCTCCCAGGGTGGGGGCTGGGATCACCTGAAATCTTGCTCACTCAAATGTCTAGCACCTGGGCTGGCCCAGTTGGACTCCTTGACATCTCTATCTCTGTTGGAGGCTCTCAATGTGATCACTACAGCATGGCAGCTTCCAAGTAGCCAAACTTCTTACCTGCTGGCTCAGGGCTCCCAAGACATATGGCCAAAGAGAGAAAGAGACAGAAAGAAGCTGTTCTGTTTTTATGACCTAGATTTGGGAGTCATGCAGTTCTATGGGTTCTGTGGTGTTGATCTGCGGTCACTGTGGGCAGGATTTTAAGTTTTGTTTATTCTGTGTCAGAAATTGGAAATGAGGAGATCTCTGCTCTCATGGAGCTCTCAGACTAGTGCTGGAGGGAGATAAATAGATTGGTAACTGCTGAATAGTGCCGTGAATGCAATCAGTGATGGGAGGGTACTGGGGTGCTATGAATGGAGAGGGATCCCCTGACCAGGTCTTGGCGGTCAGGGAGTGTTCTTATGGCAGGCATGGGGGCAGGGTGTCCATATGTCATCTCGTTTATTTCTCACAATAACTATGTGAGGTAGATATTGTTGCTTGCATTTACAGATGGGGAAACTGAGACCCACAGAAGGAAAGGAAGTTGCTCAAGTTGTGTTCACCAAGGTTGGCCTGGCTCCAAATCCCATCCTCTTAGCACTGCCCATCTGATGTCTAACAATTTTTAGCATGTTCTAAGATAAGAGATGGGTTTCTGATAAGCAGAGAGGAGCCATGATGTGAAACCGTGCAGTTAAGAGCAGTCTCTGACCTCTACTCTGTTTTCCCCAAAAAGGCACTCAGTCCAAGCTTGTTAAAGGAACGCAGGAGTGAATGACTAAGGAAGGGATAAGGGCATTGGACCAGACAGTCCTTAAGGATCTCTTTGCACCAACACTATATGGTTCTGGTCCCACGAATCTTGGTGGCTTTGATCCTCCTGAGCTTTCTCCCTGCCCAGGAGTCTCTCACCCATCTTTGCTGCCACCTGTACTCTCAGCCTCAGGACATACCATTCTCACCTGAACTCAGGCTAAACCCAATGAAATACGATTTCTTTCATATGTTCCCTTCAGCATGCCAAACACATGTTGGGGAATTGTCAGAAGGAACTTTTGTCATGATAGAGGAAAACCTCAGGGAAATGAATCAAGAAAACACAAAACCCAACACAAAACCCTTCATGAAGAGTCAGGTTTGAAATTCAAAGGTGGGGCAGAGGGGGGTAGGAAGGGTTGCTTCTCTGAGCTCCCTGCTCATTGGGATCCCCAAGGGTAGCCCCTGCCTCACGTTATCAGATCGTTGACATCTTCATTTAACATGTGCTCACTGAGGGCCTGCTCTGTACACTGCTAGCTGCTGGGCCTGCAACAGTGATTTAGACACAGGGTCTGCCCCCAAAGAGTCTTATGGGGAGACTGGGTGGTAATAGTGACCTTAATACAATGTGCTGAGTTCCATCCCTGAGTAGTCTTGGGATTTTAGGGGCACAAGCAAGAGTGCCTACCTCAGTCTTGGAAGTCAGGAAACATTTAGACCCGAAAGTTGGGTTGAATTTATCTGGGTGATATTGGTGGGAGTGGTGTGTGTGTGTTGGGGATGGTGGGTGTTCTGGGCAGGAGGAACTACATCTGTAATTGAGGAATAGGAAAACATTTCCTGGGGTTGTTGTGCAGAGTGTGAGGAGGATCTCCTGAAAGATGAGGGTGGGTTAACAGGGGAAGGGGCAAGTAATGGAAAACTTGTTCAGTGAGGATGTTGGACCACAGCCTGAAGGTCACCATTAAGTCCATGTTCTCTCCACATGCACTATTTCTATTCTTGTGATGGAGATGGGATCCTATTGGTCAAGAAGTGCCCACCATCTGTGTTCTGGATCAATCCCTTGAAGACAATTTGGAGAATGGTCTACAAAAGCTGCAAATAGGATTGTGGAGTATCACTTGTCTTCTCTGAGTAACCACCAGGGCTGTACCGTGTCACTTCTTCAACAGATCTGTGTGTGTGTCCATCTCACCCCTTCACTGATGCAGATCTCTACTCCCCAGTGCACTCAGTGCCTGAATAGTGTGCTCCATTCATAGCAACTCTGCTCATCATTGCCACTGACACCCTCCACCTCCATCCCATCCTCATCACTGTTGGAGCTGGACCGCTTCAGTGTCAGGACGGTGGCAGGCCTTTACATAAGTTTTCTGCTTCATTTCCCACAGCCACCCAACCTCACAGATAGCAAAGAGAAGCTCAGAGAGATGACAGAGAATGTGAATTGTTCTGATTCCCAAATCTACCCTCATTGTCCCATGCCACCTTAAACAACCACGGAAAACCTACTGACCAGAGATGAACACCTCCTATGAGCAGAAAAGCTCTGGAAATTCTCTTCTTGGGAAACCTCCAGCTGCTGTT